GGGCTAGCGGGAGGGAGCCCCCGGCTCCTTCCGACGGGGGCCGAGGGGGAACCAGGAGGCAAAGCCCGCAGTCTGAAGAGGCGAAGAAGGGTGGCCTTTGCTTTTATAAGCTTCCCTAGCTTGCGGTTCAGGAAGTAGGATGGCCACCCACTCCTCTCTGCGAGCAAAGACCACGTCTAAAGCCAAGAGCGTGAAGATTTGGCCTTCTTTTGCCAACCAGGCTTCCTCCAGAATAGAGCTTTTCGAAAGAATTACAAGGTGTATATGTTTTTTTTCTGTCTCACACAGCCCTATTAATAGCTCTCAGGCGTCGGCATGTGTGACACAAGGTGTCCCAGCCCTGGTCCAGAAGAAAAAAGTGACAAGTTTAAACATTACCCACACAGCACTTAATGGCATCCTAGCACCACTACCAACACTCTACATTAACAGGCTGAAATCCAGCAGTTGTTTTTGTTTTGCTTCTCTGAACTACAGCTCTCAGGACTTACTGAGGGACACTTCTAATAACAGCCTGTCACCAATTTAGGGTCAGAGCTGCTCTGAGATCCCTCTCATTACAGACAGATGGGGCCAACGACTTAGACTAGGTTGCAGCGTTGGTTTTGATTTGTGCCTAAATCAAGGCTAAAGCTCTTCAGTTGTTCCCACAAGGGTCTGGCTGCAGCTTAGAAGCAGAAAACAAAGATGATCTGGGTTGTGACTGTAACACAAAGCCAAACTGTTTAGGGAGCATTTGGATGCCAAATATGATTCTAGGCTTAGATTTAAGCTGGTAGTTCTGCACAGAGCATTTTCCACCTTCAAAACACTTCCCAGATAATTCAGGCAACACTACACAAAGGTAACTACCTTTTGCACAAAATACAAAACGCGCCAGTGAGCTTTCAAAAACTAAACCCTTCCCCAGAGCGGTTTTACCACTTTCTGCTCGAGTTTGCAGCAGAAAGCCCCCTCCAATGCTCCTTCCCCTCCTTTTGCCATCTTCTCAGAACCAGACATTCCCCATGCTAAGCTTTCCATCCACAGCCTCAACCCAGCACTTTACAGACACGGATCAAAAAACAACCGTAGAAGCCCCAAAGCTGATGACTCTGCAAGGTGCTGATTACCCATGCTTTGATAACAAGCAAGCCCCCTTAGAGGACTCCAGGTATAAAAACTGCATCGAGGACCAAACCTGGTTCCCTTCACTCACACAAGAAGCTGATAGCCAAACACTGAAGACAACAGCACAGTGGCATTTAGGAAAGACAGGAGAGCATCTGGCTCAGATTAGATTCTTGCTGAAATATAGAGCTGATTTCCAGCTCTTGACTGATTGATCTTTCTTTTTTTCACTTGGATGCGTGATGTGGGATAACAGAGCGTGCAGAATGCATTCACTGTCAAGATTTTATGGGCAAAAGGGGAGAAATCCTGTTTGTGATAACCACAGGGATTTCTTTCTGAAAACAGCATCTGCCTGCATCTCTCCAACTTGTAGGAAAAAAGCGTCCACAAATTCCACCGCAGCCAAGTTCAGGAGAGGTGCCAAAAGTGACATTTGAACGTCACTGTGAATTAAGGCCTAGGGCAACCTGACACTTTCCCTCTGATGTCCAAAGGGACGTGTCATAAAATCAATTCCTTTCATGCCACGCTGCATAGTGGTACTTACGTACACAGCAACTTGAAAGCCCACAGTACTCCCTCAAAGCATGTACGCTCGCAAATGACAGTAAGATCACTTCATCTTTCCAGACTCCACTCAGTATTTAAGATTTCCTCAGCAGCCTGTTTGGCACTCGTGTGTGTTAATACTGGTGTGCTGGTCAGACGTGGTGCCTGCTCCAATTAAGATTGTCTACTCTTGGTTACTTCCACCGCCTTTAGAATTTGTTTTGGAACATCAGCCTGAAAAAAAAAAAAACAACCAGTTAACCAGCCATTGAAAAATCATGTATTGCACTTCCATGCCCATCAACAGGACTGAACATCCAGTCATTGATGAATTCATTTATTTTGGCAATGCTTTATCAACGCCAGTGGAGTTTCCTTAATGAGGTAGTTTCTCATATCCAGGACACTAGCAGGATTACTGAGTGAGCTGGCAAAGAACCAAATCTCTTGACAAGTTAAAGATGTATAAAGTTGCCTTCCATACGCCACTGCTGTGCGGGTGTGCATCAAGGTAATGTACAGAAGGTGGAGAAGTTGTTAGAAGTATTACCAAAGGCACTTTTGTGCCTTATGTTTAGTGAAGCACTATGAAAGCCCGGCAAATGTTGAAGCCATAGGATGGGCTGACTTGATGTTTAGTAAGACATCAGCAATAAAAGTCCCGGCAGCTGTGCAGCAAGCACTCAGATGAATAGCACACAGCCAGCTACCAAGCAGAGAATGGAGCATGGACAAGTGTCCAAGAAAGCTTTTTCAAAGATACTGACAAGACACTTGGTTGAGTGCAACATGATAGTCAGGGGTTTAGCTGCACATTAGTAACAGTGAAGCAGAAACACAGAGGAAGACACAGTATTTTGAACAGCAACGCTGTACCCTTGTGTATGAAAAAGTCAAAATGCACGCAGCAGTTGCAAATAGGAAGGTAAAATTTGCCTGAAAAGGTGTTTATTTCATGCAAGCATAGTGACCCTTCCCACCATGCTTATTTTACTCTTCTCCATTCCCCCATAAAGATCTTTATGTACCTTGTGCCAAAAAAACCATGCTATCAGCCATGATCCTCATCTCAAACTTTCAGTCTCATGGATATATTGAGCGCAAGTTGAGACCGTTCTGTGAAAATCAAGACCCTAAACTTGTTCAGACACTCTGTGTTGAGAGCAGAGGAGGACTCTAAAATACTTGCAGTTGCCCATACCACTAGAAAGCTCATTAGGTTCTGAATTACCTACAATTTCTCAGGGAACAAAGCCCTAGGTCTCATTCTAATCACAGAATCATTTGGTTGGAAAAGACCTTTAAGATCATCAAGCCCAACCGCACCTGTCCACTACTAAACCATGTCCCTAAGCACCACATCTGCCCGCCTTTTAAATACCTCCAGGGATGGGGACTTGACCACTTCCCTGGGCAGCCCATTCCAATGCTTGACAACCCTTTCAGTGAAGAAATTTTTTCCTAATATCCAACCTAAACATGCCCTGGTGCAACTTGAGGCCATTTCCTATCCCTTGTTACTTGGGAGAAGAGACCGATATCTACCTCGCTACAACCTCCTTTCAGGTATTGCTGTATTCTACACCATTAAGGGATAAAGGCACATCTGACTACACATGAAACTGAATTTTGGTGATAAGGTGGCAGAGAGTGAAGAAATGCTCTAAAGAGTGAGGCTTGCTAATTCTGCTGCAGGGAAGGTAAAGGTGGTGACAACAACTGCTGCTTCTGGGATGGCGAGCGTGACAGAGTGACGTCTGGCACAGTGCAGTTAAATAACACATGTAGGAACGTGTTCAATATACCAGCCGGTACAGTAATCTTATTTTTCAAAAAAACAATACAGTGCAGTGTTAAACTTCATTAAAGAACCAATGTCATGAGCAACATATGTAACTGGTAATACAAGTAACATCAACGAAAAAAGCATATAAACAATGGGAAACCCAGTTCTGATGAAATGAAGCTTACGTATAGTTTTCTCTATTGCAATTAACCTTTCTTGTATGCGTGGGACCTGATTCTCTTGAACAATAATACTTAGTTTCACTTCACTTAGGGTAGACTGTGCCCAGCCATCTCAGTGTTTAAAACTTCAGCTGCAGGGCTAAGTACAGGTTTCTAATACGCTCTTTGTGGCTGTAACCATCCCTGAGGGGTAAAAAACCAACAGAACAAAAGTGGTTTCTGGAATACTCCCCAGCATCAACTGGATAGGCAATATTAAGAAAAAAGAACTGAAAAGATACCAGTGGTGGACATGTTAGGCTGATAGATATTGGTAGATACAGTAGATGATAGAATACAGTAGATATGACAGAAATCAGACAAAAACAACTTTAAAACTCATCTTCATTGTTACAGGTAGCTGTTAATTGGACATAATCACACCACTAAAAGATATTGCTTTCAGGGCAATCTACTGCCAGGCAACTCTTCTTTGAGGGAGGCATTAAATGAGTGACTTCTTTCAAGTCCACTTTTTTAACATTAACTTCCTCCTTGTGGTCTTAAAACATGTTACAGATATCAATGAATTAAGTCCTCTGTACAGCAGAATCAGGCAATACTTTTTGTAACTCTCGTGTTTACATAAGCAGACATTAAGGAACAGAAAATTATTTTCCCACAAATAATCATCTATCATCAAACCAGAAACAGAACCCCTGTTTTCCAATTCCACACTTAAAACCACAAATCCATCCTTCTTCCTTTTTAAGTATTTCACCCTCGTTGAGGCAAAGAAAGTTAACCACAAATACCACACTATCCCAAGTCACTAAATCACACTATGACAACTGTAAAAAACACTTGATTTGTAGTTAATGGCATACATTAGCATCACAAACGCAGAATTTGATCATGTAACATGTATACTTCTTGCAAAATGCTTTTCAACCAACTTTATATATGGTATATTTAAAAGTAGTATTTAATGAGTAAATATTATCGTCATTATACGCTAGGTAGCAATCGCTGTCAGTCACATCCTAATAAGAAAACTGTGATAAGAAAATCCAGCCATTCGATCAGCTAAATCAATCTTGGTACGCCACCTCCCTCTTAGCAAACCTACCTGAAAGGGTAAGAAAGTCATCAAAACTATCAGACGCTGTAGTATCAGATCACCTTAGAGATAAACACTGTGCTTTGGAAATACTAACTCAAAAACTTCCAAATGTTTTTTCTGCACCAGGTCTTCCAAATTAATTTCCTTTTTCCCATAAGTTTTTCACACATATTTGATCCTTCTTTAAAAACTATGAGTGGTTTTTGTGTTGAAGTTTCCTGCATTTCATTACAGTGTAAAGAATTTATTTTCCCCTGTAAATAAACAATAATTTACCTTCCAAAGCCCAGTAAAGTGTCATATTCCCTTCTGCATATGTTTTTTAAACAGATTTCTAACTGTCCATGTTATCAGTTTTTGTACCAAAGGTATTTTGCATAGAGGATGAGAATGATAACCCCCCAAATTTAACATTACCCTGTTCATCAAGGAGTCAGTCTACTTGGCCTCACTTGCAACACAATCACTGAATGCAGAAAAAACCTGTAACTGATGTAAAAGACCTCTTCAGCAGAATGGCGAGGGACAGCATAGCCAACTTCAAAAAATGGTGCTAAGCCTCCTGCACTAATCCCAGCCTTGCGCATCCTGCACCTCTCAGGGATGCCAGCAATGAAAGAGATGCAACTCTTGGAAAACATGGGCTTAAGAAACTTTTTTGCAGACAGGACCAGAAACTGCATTGCATTGATCCCCACTTGCAGGCAGACAACAGGGTGGAACTGGGATGAGTTTCGCATGCGAGTGGAACAACTGTGAATACCTTCACAGAGTGCGCAGAAAAACGCACGTATCGCCTCTGATGCTGTCTGAAAAAGGGAGAAAGAGAAGAAAGTTTTAGGAACCTGTTGAATAAATGATTGACAAACTATTTTGTGCAATCAGATTGTCAGCACTGAACAGAATGCCTCCAACAACACATGAGCATCATGCTTATCTACTCCAGGTTGTTTCAGCCAGTTAGCTCTCCTTATTCACCTCTCTACTTCAGTCAGCCTTTGGGAAAGCCTCACAAAAAACCACCTAGGTTCAGTGAAAAAGAGACAGGGCTAAGGCTCCTACAGACCCTGGTTTAGTCATGGTCCTGTAACAGCATGTTCCACATAAACATTGTAAATCGTCCTACCATTCCAAACATACACTGAGTCCAATACAACTCCTATGGCTTTACAGCATGTATGTTGCAGATCATACTACAGCTCTTCATGTCCAGTTCTACACTGTGCAGCCAATGTCCTATGCTGCCTCCTTTCCTCAGAAACCAAATGCTTGAACACAAGAAAACCGTTGTATACAACGCTAATACATTGTCACCTAAGTAACTATCATCTCCATGGGCTACATGCACATGCACTTAGCAGTCAGAGCTAAGAGACCAGAATGGAGGCACAAGCAAGGCATCTAGCCCGAGTGGAAATTAGCAAAGAAATATTAGTTATATGCCAAGAAAATACACATACTCGGCAACACTCAGAATTAACAGTGTACTGTCTTTTTCATGGGCAAGAAGTGCATGAAAACCTTCTATTCAACAATATTAAAGGCTGATGATAGATTCTTTAAAAAAAAAAAAAATCAAAAAATCAAATCACCAGATTACTATCTATAACTAGAAGAAAATATAAAGAAAACAAATCAGGAAGAGTCATGTATGTCATACAGAGGACAACTATAAAAAAATGCTGTTAAGAATCAAAAAACCTACAAGCACGTGAGCCGAAACTAAACTTAACCTCACACTTTCTGCTAAAACTTTTACAAAAGAAAAAGGCAACATTAACAGAAGAGATCTCCATGAAGACATGCTCTTGATCACAGTTTTAATGTAACTGATTTGAATCAGGCAGGCCAACTGTTTTGTGTATTACCTGAGATAATTATAGACTGAGTTTCCTCTTTCTTGAGCCCAGGCTGCAAGCTAGGACTTCTTAGGCTACTTCAGAATTTTAACATATAAGAAACAGCCATAAATCAGCCTGAAAAGTTACCAGAATTGTCTTTAGGACAAAAGAAGCAAATAAATCTGGTGCAGCATGGATTCAATGGTTTCTGCTCATGAAAATACAGTCCTTACAGCAAGAAATACACTGGGCAATGCAGAACCAGAAGGAAATTATTTTTGGTAGCCTAACATACCAGCCTTGACTGTCACACGGTTTTTGTA